CACACCCAACATGGCCACCACGAACATGGCCCGCCCAATATGGCTGCTCCCAACGAACCCAGCATGGCCACACCCAACATGGCCGCCTCCAACATGGCCACACCCAATATGGCCACGCCCAATATGGCTGCTCCCAACACGCCCAATATGGCCACGCCCTGCATGGCCACGCCCAATATGGCCACCTCCACGGTGGTCACGCCCAATATGGCCGCCATCAACATGGCCACACCCACTATGGCCGCTCCCAACACGCCCAGCATGGCTACGCCCAACATGGCCGCCCCCAACATGGCCACGCCCAATATGGCCTCTCCCAACACGCCCAGTATGGCCACACCCAATATGGCCGCCTCCAACATGGCCACACCCAATATGGCCGCCCCCATCACACCCAACATGGCCACACCCAATATGGCCGCCTCCAACTTGGCCACACCCAATATGGCCTCTCCCAACACGCCCAGTATGGCCACACCCAACATGGCCGCCTCCAACTTGGCCACGCCCAATATGGCCGCCACTAACATGGCCACACCCAATATGGCCGCCTCCACTGTGGCCACACCCAACATGGCCGCCACTAACATGGCCACGCCCAACATGGCCTCCCCCATCACACCCATATGGCTGCCTCCAACTTGGCCACACCCAATATGGCCGCTCCCAATACGCCCAGTATGGCCACACCCAACATGGCCGCCCCCATCACAGCCACACCCAATATGGCTGCCCCCAACATGGCCACACCCAACATGGCCGCCCCCATCACAGCCACACCCAACATGGCCGCCCCCCTCGTGACCACCCCCAACATGGCCGCTTTGGGGGCGTGTCCCCCAGGCCCCGCCCCCCGGAGCCCCGCCCCTCGCCCCTCGGCTGCCCGCTGTGCCCCAAGCGCTTCCTGGCGAGGGCGGGGCTCCGCAAGCACCAACGACGTCACGGCCCCGCCCCCTCCCCTCAGGCCACGCCCCCTTCCGCCACCCAAGGGGCGGAGCCTCCGCCAGGCCCCGCCCCCTGATGCTGAGGCTGCGGGAGGGGGGCGGGGCTTTGAGGAGGGGTTTAGGGGCGGGGCTTTTCCTTATATGGATATGGGGGTGGGGCTGGGGGCGGGGCTTGCCGAGGCCACGCCCCCCCCCTGGGGGGTGTTGGAAATAAAGGGGCCGAGCGCGACGCAGCCTCGTCAATGGGGGGGGGGGGGGGAGGGGACATTTTGGGGAGGGGGAGGGGACATTTGGGGGGGGGAGGGGACAGAGCCCATGGGGATCACGTGACCGAGGGGACACCACCCTGGGGACACCCCAAAAAGGACCCGAGGGTCCTGGGGACACCCCCAAGGGGACAAAGTGACCATGGGGACCACCCAAGGGACCCAAGTGTCCCAGTGCCACCACCCCGAGGACCCCAAAATGTCACCCCAAAAGGTGACCGAGGTGCCACCACCCCTGGGGACCACCCCAAAGGGACCTGAGGGTCCTGGGGACACCACCAAGGGGACCAAGGTGCCACCACCCCTGGGACCACCCAAGGGACCCAAGTGACCAAGGTGCCACCACCCCAAGGACCCCAAATGTCACCCCAAAAGGTGACCGAGGTGCCACCACCCCGAGGACCCCACGTGTCCTGGTGTCACCACCAAGGGGACCCAAGGGTCCCAAGTGCCACCACCCCTGGGACCACCCAAGGGACCCAAGTGACCAAGATGCCACCACCCCAAGGACCCCAAATGTCCTGGTGTCACCACCCCTGGTGACCAAGGTGCCACCACCCATGGGGACCACCCCAAGGGGACCCGAGTGTCCTGGTGCCACCACCCCAAGGACCCCAAGTGACCAAGATGCCACCACCAAGGGGACCAAGTGACCAAGGTGCCACCACCCCTGGGGACCACCCCAAGGGACCCAAGTGTCCCAGTGCCACCACCCTGGGGTCCCAACATGTCCAGGAGCCACCATCCCAGGTGACCAAGGTGCCACCACCCCAAGGACCCCAAATGTCCTGGTGCCACCACCCAGGTGACCAAGGTGCCACCACCCATGGGGACCACCCCAAAGGGACCCGAGTGTCCCGATGCCACCACCCCAAGGGACCCAAGTGACCGAGGTGCCACCACCCCTGGGGACCACCCAAGAGCCCCAAGTGTCCCAGTGCCACCACCCAGTGTCCTCAAGTGTCTTGGTGCCACCACCCCAAGGTGACCCAAGTAACCAAGGTGCCACCACCCCAAGGTCCCCAAGTGTCCTGGTGCTGCTACCCCAAGTGACAAAGGTGCCACCACCCCTGGGGACCACCCAAGGGACCCGAGTGTCTTGGTGCCACCACCCCAAGGGACCCAAATGACCAAGGTGCCACCACCCCAAGGGACCAAGATGCCACCACCCATGGGGACCCAAGTGACCAAGGGGACCCACGTGTCCTGGTGCCACCACCCTGGGGTCCTCCCATGTCCTGGTGCCACCACCCCAAGGGGACACCCAAGGGACCTGAGTGTCCTGGTGTCACCGCCCCAAGGTCCCCAAATGTCCTGGTGCCACCACCCCAGGTGACCCAAGTGACCAAGGTGCCACCACCCCTGGGGACCACCCAAGGGTGCCACCACCCCAAGGACCCCACGTGTCCTGGTGCCACCACCCCAAGGTGACCAAGGTGCCACCACCCCTGGGGACCCAACCGTCCCCAAAAGGGACCCCCACGTCCAGGTGCCACCACCCCGAGGACCCCAAATGTCACCCCAAAAGGTGACCGAGGTGCCCCCACCCCTGGGGACCCCCAAGCCCCCCCCCCCCCCCCCCGTGTCCCGGTGCCACCTCTGCTCTGGGCTGTCACCACCTTTATTTAAGCCCCGCCCCCTCAACGCCTCCCAGCCAATGGCTGCGGAGCACGCCTACAACTCGACCAATCACTGCGCTCGGCAAGTGACGTCATCCCCCTCTCAGCCAATCCCGTGCCAGTATCCCCTCCCCGCCCCCCCCACCACCGCCCAATCCCGTGCCAGCCTGCCCCGTTCTAACCAATCCCCTTCCAGCCCCGCCCCCTGCTCTCAACCAATCCCGTCTCAGCACCACCCTCACCCAATCCCGTGCCACCTTTCCCTTTCTCTCAGCCAATCCCGTCCCTCCATCCACCCCTGCCCCTCCCACCCACCCCTCTCAGCCAATGGCGTCGCGGGGGGCGCTGACCCCGACCAATCAGGAGGCCCCAGGGCGAGGCTCCGCCCCCCGGCATCATTTGGGGGGCACCCTTGGGTGCTCCTCCAGAGCTGGGGGCACCCCAAGGACCTGCACCCTTGGGTGCCCCCCGAATTGCTCCAAATCTTGGTGACCCCCAGGGGTCTTCACCCTTGGGTGCTCCTCCAAAATCTCCAAATCTTGGGGAACCCCAAAAGTCGGCACCCTTGGGTGCTCCCCCAAATTTTGAGGAACCCCAAAAGTCTTCACCTTTGGGTGCTCCCCAAACTTCTCCAGATCTTGAGGAACCCCAAAAGTCTTCACCCCTGGGTGCTCCCCCAAATCTTGAGGAACCCCAAGAGTCTGCACCCTTGGGTGCTCCTCCAAAACCTCCAGTTCTTGATGCACCCCAAGTCTCTCATTTTTTGGGTGCTCTCCCAAAGTCTCCAAATCTTGAAGAACCCCAACAGTCTTCACCCTTGGGTGCTCCTCAATCATCTCCAGTCCTTGGTGCCCCCCAAGACTCTTGGTCTTTGGGTGCTCTTCCAACATCTCCAGATCTTGAGGAACCCCAAGAGTCTTCACCCTTGGGTGCTCCTCCAAAACCTCCAGTTCTTGATGCACCCCAAGTCTCTCATTTTTTGGGTGCTCTCCCAAAGTCTCCAAATCTTGAGGAACCCCAAGAGTCTTCACCCTTGGGTGCTCCTCCAACATCTCCAAACCTTGACGCAACTCAAGACTCTTGGTCTTTGGGTGCTCTTCCAACATCTCCAAATCTTGATGCACCCCAAAAGTCTTCACCCTTGGGTGCTCCCCAAACTTCTCCAGATCTTGGTGACCCCCAGGAGTCTGCACCCTTGGGTGCTCCTCCAAATCTTGAGGAACCTCAAGAGTCTGATACTTTGGGTGCTCTTCCAACACCTCCAGATCTTGAGGACCCCCAAGAGTTTTCACCCTTGGGTGCTCCTCAATCACCTCTTGTCCTTGACGCACCCCAAAAGTCTTCACCCTTGGGTGCTCCCCAAACTTCTCCAGATCTTGAGGAACCCCAAGAGTCTTCGCCTTTGGGTGCTCTTCCAACACCTCCAGATTTTGGAGACCCCCAAGAGTCTGCACCCTTGGGTGCTCCTCAATCATCTCCAGATCTTGGTGCCCCCCAAGTCTTTCAGTCTTTGGGTGCTCTCCCAAGGTCTCCAAATCTTGAGGAACCCCAGGAGTCTGCACCCTTGGGTGCTCCCCAAACTTCTCCAAATCTTGACGCCCCCCAACAGTCTTCACCCTTGGGTGCTCCCCCCCCACCTCCCCCCCTTCCTGCCCCCCAACCCTCGAACCCTCCCCCACCCCCTCCTCTCCCCCCACCCCCACCCCCACCCTCGCCGCCGCCGCCGCCGCCGCCACCGCCGCGCCGTGCGCCTCCTCCAGATGCACCCGCTCGTGGGTGATGAGGTTGGAGCTCTGGCTGAAACGCCGGCCGCAGCGGGCGCAGCCGTAGGGCCGCTCGCCGGTGTGGGTGCGCCGGTGCTGCTCCAGGTGGGCGCTGCGCACGAAGCCCTTGCCGCACTCGCCGCAGCCGTAGGGCTTCTCGCCGGTGTGGATGCGCTGGTGCCGCACCAGGGTGGAGCTCATGCCGAAAGCTTTGCCGCACTCGCCGCAGCGGTAGGGCCGCTCGCCGGCGTGGGTGCGCCGGTGGAGGGCCAGGTTGGAGCGGAGGGCGAAGGCTTGGCCGCATTCGGCGCAGGCGAAGGGGCGCTCCTCGCCGTGAGCCCGCTGGTGCCGGGCCAGCGCCGAGCGGAGCCCGAAAGCCCGGCCGCACTCGGCGCAGCGGTGAGGTTGCAAGCCCAAATGGAGGCGCCGGTGCTTGGCCAAGGTGGCCCCGTGGCCGAAACGCTTGCCGCACTCGCCGCAGGCGAAGGGCTTCTCGCCGCTGTGGCTGCGCTGGTGCTGGATGAGCTCCGAGCTCTGCACGAAGCCCTTGCCGCACTCGCCGCAGCGGTAGGGCTTCTCGCCGCCGTGGGTCTTGCCGTGCTTCAGCAGGTTGGCGCGTTGGGCGAAGGCTTTGCCGCACTGGCCGCAGCGGTAGGGCCGCTCGCCCGAGTGGCTGGCTTGGTGCTGGAGGAGGTCGGAGCTGCGGTAAAAAGCCTTGCGGCACTGCCCGCAGGCGTAGGGGCGCTCGCCGGCGTGGGCGCGCTGGTGCTTGACCAGGTTGGTGCTTTGGCTGAAGGCTTTGCCGCACTCGCCGCAGGCGTAGGGGCGCTCGCCGGTGTGGGTGCGGCGGTGCTGGGCCAGGTTGGAGCTCCAGCCGAAGGCCTTGCCGCACTCGCCGCACTTGTAGGGCCGCTCGCCGGTGTGGGTGCGGAGGTGCTGGGCCAGGTGGGAGCGTTGGGCGAAGCGTTTGCCGCACTCGCCGCAGGCGTTGGGGCGCTCGCCCGTGTGGCTCCGCCGGTGCCGTTCCAGTTTGGACCACTGGGCGAAGGATTTGCCGCACTCGCTGCAGATGTAGGGGCGGCCGCCGGACGCGCCGGCTGTGGGGCGGGAGGAGAAGGGTCTTGGGGGCATGGAACCCAACTTTGAACCCAAAAATGGTGGCCAAGAGGATCCTAAATGCGTCAACTTATCCTTAAAATTCGTCCCAAAATGTCCTATAGGGTCTTGGGAGCCTAGAACCCAACTTTTAACCCAAAAATGTTGGCCAAGAAGATCCTAAACTCTTCGATCCATCCTTTGAACCCATCCCAAGATGTCCTAGAGGGATTTGGGGGACTGGATCCCAAGTTTCAACCCAAAAATGTTGGCCAAGAAGATCCTAAATGCCCCGTTCTAGACTTTAAACCCATCCCAAGATGTTCTATAGGGTCTTGGGGGCATGGAACCCAACTTTGAACCCAAAAATGTTGGCCAAGAAGATCCTAAAGTCTTTGATCCATGCTTCAAATCCATCCCAAGGTGTTCTATAGGGTTTTGGGAACCTAGATCCCAACTTTTAACCTCAAAATGTTGGCCAAGAGGATCCTAAACACCCAGTTCTAGACATTAAACCCATCCCAAGATGTTCTATAGGGTCTTGGGGGCATGGAACCCAACTTTTAACCCAAAAATGGTGGCCAAGAAGATCCTAAATGCGTCAATTTATCCTTAAAATCCATCCCAAGGTGTTCTATAGGGTCTTGTGGGCCTAGAACCCAACTTTTAACCCAAAAATGGTGGCCAAGAAGATCCTAAATGCGTCAAATTATCCTTCAAACCCATCCCAAGATGTTCTATAGGGTCTTGGGAGCCTAGAACCCAACTTTAAACCCATAAATGTTGGCCAAGAGGATCCTAAATGCGTCAACTTATCCTTAAAATCCATCCCAAGGTGTTCTATAGGGTTTTGGGAGCCTAGAACCCAACTTTTAACCCAAAAATGGTGGCCATGAAGATCCTAAACACCCAGTTCTAGACTTTAAACCCATCCGAGGATGTTCTATAGGGTCTTCGGGGACTGGATCCCAAGTTTCAACCCAAAAATGTTGGCCAAGAAGATCCGAAATGCCCCGTTCTAGACTTTAAACCCATCCCAAGATGTTCTATAGGGTCTTGGGGGCGTGGATTCCAACTTTTAACCCAAAAATGTTGGCCAAGAAGATCCTAAATGCGTCAATTTATCCTTAAAATCCATCCCAAGGTGTTCTATAGGGTCTTGGGAGCCTAGAACCCAACTTTAAACCCATAAATGTTGGCCAAGAGGATCCTAAATGTGTCAATTTATCCCTAAAATCCATCCCAAGGTGTCCGAGAGGGATTTGGGGGAAAGGATCCCAACTTTGAACCCAAAAATGTTGGCCAAGAGGATCCGAAACTCTTTAATCTATCCTTGAAACCCAACCCAACTTGTCCTGTAGGGTCTTGGGGGACTGGATCCCAGGTTTCAACCCAAAAATGGTGGCCAAGAGGATCCTAAATGCGTCAACTTATCCTTAAAATCCATCCCAAGGTGTTCTATAGGGTCTTGGGAGCCTAGATCCCAACTTTTAACCCAAAAATGTTGGCCAAGACAATCTGAAACTCTTCAATCCATCCTTTGAACCCATCGCAAGATGTTCTATAGGGTCTTGGGAGCCTAGAACCCAACTTTTAACCCCAAAATGTTGGCCAACAAGATCCTAAAGTCTTTGATCCATGCTTCAAATCCATCCCAAGATGTTCTATAGGGTTTTGGGGGTCTAGAACCCAACTTTTAACCCATAAAAAGTGGCCAAGAGGATCCTAAACGCCCAGTTCTAGACTTTAAACCCATCCCAAGATGTCCTAGAGGGATTTGGGGGACTGGATCCCGAGTTTTAACCCCAAAATGGTGGCCAAGAGGATCCTAAACGCGTCAATTTATCCTTAAAATCCATCCCAAGTTGTTCTATAGGGTCTTGGGGGCATGGAACCCAACTTTTAACCCAAAAATGGTGGCCAAGAGGATCCTAAATGTGTCAATTTATCCCTAAAATCCATCCCAAGGTGTCCGAGAGGGATTTGGGGGAAAGGATCCCAACTTTGAACCCAACAATGTTGGCCAAGAGGATCCGAAACTCTTTAATCTATCCTTGAAACCCAACCCAACTTGTCCTGTAGGGTCCTGGGGGACTGGATCCCAGGTTTCAACCCCAAAATGGTGGCCAAGAGGATCCTAAATGCGTCAACTTATCCTTAAAATCCATCCCAAGATGTTCTATAGGGTTTTGGGAGCCTAGAACCCAACTTCTAACCCATAAATGTTGGCCAAGAGGATCCTAAACGCCCCGTTCTAGTTTAAACCCATCCCAAGATGTCCTAGAGGGATTTGGGGGACTGGACCCCAAGTTTTAACCCAAAAATGGTGGCCAAGAGGATCCTAAATGCGTCAACTTATCCTTAAAATCCATCCCCAAGGTGTTCTATAGGGTTTTGGGAGCCTAGATCCCAACTTTTAACCCAAAAATGTTGGCCAAGAAGATCCTAAATGCCCCGTTCTAGACTTTAAACCCATCCCAAGATGTCCTAGAGGGATTTGGGGGACTGGATCCCGAGTTTTAACCCAAAAATGTTGGCCAAGAGGATCCAAAATGCCCCGTTCTAGACTTTAAACCCATCCCAAGATGTTCTATAGGGTCTTGGGAGCGTAGAACCCAACTTTTAACCTCAAAATGTTGGCCAAGAGGATCCCAAATTCGTCAACTTATCCTTCAAACCGATCCCAAAATGTTCTAAAGGGTCTTGGGAACCTAGAACCCAACTTTTAACCCAAAAATGTTGGCCAAGAAGATCCTAAATGCCCCGTTCTAGACTTTAAACCCATCCCAAGACGTCCTATAGGGTTTTGGGGGCCTAGAACCCAACTTTTAACCCCAAAACCTTGACCAAGAAGATCCTAAATGCCTTTGAAACAATCCCAAAATATCCTATAGGGTCTTGGGCGCCCGAAACCCAACTTTTAACCCCAAAACCTTGACCAAGAAGGTCCTAAATGCCTTTGAAACAATCCCAAAATATCCTATAGGGTCTTGGGCGCCCGAAACCCAACTTTTAACCCCAAAACCTTGACCAAGAAGATCCTAAATGCCTTTGAAACAATCCCAAAATATCCTATAGGGTCTTGAGTGCCCAAAACCCAACTTTTACCCCAAAAACGTTGGCCAAGGAGGTCCCAAAATCCTCGATCCACCCCTCAACCCCATCCCAAGGCATCCTATAGGGTCGGGACCCCCCCCAACCCCTTTTTTTCCCCCCCCCCGGGATTTTTTGGGGTGTCCCAAAAATGGAGGTCCCCTGGGGGGGCTCTGGGGGTGTTTTGGGGCCACCCCACCCCAAAATTTTTTTTTGGGGGGGGTCTCACCTGCTGGAGGCTCCTTGGGGGCGTCCTCAGCGGCTCCGGGCGCCCCACTCGGGGTGTCCATGGGGCAACCTGGGGGGGGGACAAATTTAATTTTGGGGGGGGTTTGGGGACCCCAAAAAGGTCCGAAACACCCCAAAATACCCCAAAATTCGCCTCCCCCCCACCTTACCCGCGGGGCCGGCGCTGGCCTGCATCGTCCTCGGGGGGGGCTGCAAAGGAGAGAGAGGGGGGGTCAATGGGGGGGGGGGGGGGCAATTTTTGGGGGGGTCCCCAAAACCTGGAGGGGTCCCCAAGTCCTGGAGGGGGGGTCCCTAAATTTTGGGGAGGGGGTCCCTAAATTTTGGGGGGGATCCCTAAATTTTGAGGGCGTTGGGGGGGATTTTGGGGGGGGTCTTGGGGGTTTTTGGGGATCCTGGGGGGGTCCCCAAATCCTGGGGGGGGGTCCCTAAATTTTGGGGGGGTTGGGGGGAATTTTGGGGGGGTCTTGGGGGGATGCTGGGGGGGTTGGGGGCTTCTGGGGGGGGTCCCCAAATCCTGGGGGGGTCCCTAAATTTTGGGGAGGGGGTCGCTAAATTTTGGGGGGGGATCCCTAAATTTTTGGGGGGTTGGGGGGGATTTTTTGGGGGGGTTCCCAAATCCTAGGGGGGGTCCCTAAATTTTGGGGGGGGTTGGAGGGATTTTGGGGGGATCCTGGGGGGGTCCCCAAATCCTGGGGGGGGTCCCTAAATTTTGGGGGGGGTTGGGGGGGTCCTAGGGGATTTGGGGGGGGTCCTGGGGGGGTTCAGGGGGCTCAAGGGGGGGGTCCCCAAGTCCTTGGGGGGGTCAGGGGGTCCTGGGGGGGGTCCCTAAATTTTGGGGGGGGTCGGGGGGGTCCTGGGGGATTTGGGGGGGTCCTGGGGGGGGTCCCCAAGGCTCGGGGCCTACAGGGGGGGGATTTTGGGGGGGGGGGCGCCCCCCAAGCGTCGCTGCCGAGCGAGAGGGACCCGGGGGGGGGGCAGGATCCGGTGCTGAGGCCCCTCCCAGCGCTGACGTCACTTCCCGTCCCCCCCCGCCCCCAAAAAGCCCGGGTTTCCCCCCAAAATGCCGCCCCCCCCCCCAAAGAGGGGCCGGAGGGGTTCTGCGCATGCGCAGGGCGTGGCCACGCCCCCCTCCGGGAGCAAGCCACGCCCCCTAGCAACGGGGAGCTTTGAGTGACAGCTTCACCATGGCAACGCCCGCCCCTAGCAACGGTTGGCCCCGCCCCTTAGCAACGCCCTCCCCTCCTTAGCAACGCCCCTAGCAACGCCGCCTCCCCCTAGCAACAGGCCCGGCGCTGATTGGCCGGCGGCGGCCGGGGTGGGCGTGGCCCGCGGCGGCGCCGCTGATTGGCCAGCCGCCGCCACTTCCGGGCAGCGCGGGGAGCGGCGGGAGCGGCGGGAGGTGAGAGCGGCCCCCTGGGAGGGGGGGGGGGGAGGGTTTGGGACCCCCTCCTGGGTCACGTGAGGGTCCCCCGGGGTCACGTGGGGGCCGTGGGGTCACGTGGGGGTCCGCTGTGTCACGTGGGGGTGCTCCTGAGGGTGGGGGGGGGGGTGGTGGGGTGGGGGGGGGGGGTCCCCTTTTTGGGGGGGGGGAGGGGTTGACCTGAGGTCCCTCCGGGTCCCTTGGGTCCCTCTGGGGTCCCTTGGGTGTCCCCAAGGCCCTGGGTCCCCCCCCCACCACTTGGGTCCCCTCCAGGTCCCTTGGGTCCCTCTGGGGTCCCTTGGGTGGTCCCTGGGTGGTCCCAAGGCCCTGGGGTCCCTCCAGGTCCCTTGGGTGCCCTCCGGGTCCTTTGGGTCCCTCTGGGGTCCCATGGGTGTCCCCAAGACCCTGGGGTCCCTCCGGGTCCCTTGGGTCCCCCTGGGGTTCCTTGGGTCCCTTTGGGGTCCCTTGGGTCCGTCTGGGGTCTCTTGGGTGTCCCCAAGACCCTGGGTCTCCCTGGGGTCCCTTGGGTCCCTTTGGGTCCCTTGGGTCCTTCTTGGGTCTTGTTGGTGTCCCCAAGACCCTGGGTCTCCCTTGGGTCCCCTCCAGGTCCCTTGGGTCCCCCTGGGGTCCCTTGGGTGTCCCCAAGTCCCTTGGGCCCCTTCAGATCCCCTGAGTCCCCCTGGGGTCCCTTGGGTGTCCCCAAGTCCCTTGGGTCCCCTCCAGGTCCCTTGGGTCCCTCTGGGGTCCCTTGGGTGTCCCCAAGACCCTGGGTCCCCTCCAGGTCCCTTGGGTGCCCTCCAGGTCCCTTGGGTCCCTCTGGGGTCCCTTGGGTGTCCCCAAGACCCTTGGGTCCTTCTGGGGTTCTTTGGGTCCCTTTGGGGTCCCTTGGGTCCCTCTGGGGTCCCTTGGGTGTCCCCAAGACCCTGGGTCCCCTCCCCATCACTTGGGTCCCCTCCAGGTCCCTTGGGTCCCTCTGGTGTCCCTTGGGTGGTCCCGGGTGGCCACAAGGCCCTGGGGTCCCTCCGGGTCCCTTGGGTCCCCTCCAGGTCCTTTGGGTCCCTCTGGGGTCCCTTGGGTGTCCCCAGGACCCTGCGTCCCCTCCAGGTCCCTCGGGTCCCCTCCAGGTCCCTTGGGTGCCCTCCGGATCCCTTGGGTCCTTCTGGGGTTCTTTGGGTCCCTTTGGGGTCCCTTGGGTCCTTCTTGGGTCTTGTTGGTGTCCCCAAGACCCTGGGTCTCCCTTGGGTGCCCTCTGGGTCCCTTGGGTCCCCCTGGGTTCCCTTCGGTGTCCCCAAGGCCCTGGGTCCCCTCCAGGTCCTTTGGGTCCCTCTGGGGTCCCTTGGGTCCCTTTGGGGTCCCTTGGGTGGCCCCAGGGCCTTGGGTCCCCTCCCCATCACTTGGGTCCCCTCCATGTCCCTTGGGTCCCTCAGGGGTCCCTTGGGTGTCCCCAAATCCCTTGGGTCCCCTGCAGGTCCCTTGGGGTGTCCCCAAGTCCCTCGGGTCCCCCCCAAATCCCTTGGGTCCCCTCCCCATCACCTGGACCCCCCCCCCCCCCAGTCCCCAAAAACAAAACCAACCCCTTTGTGTGTCCCCCCCACCCCGGGGTCCCCAGGGGCTTGGGGACGGGGCCCGCCGTGCCCGCGGGGACACCCGGCGACCCGATGACGTGACGCAGGCGCCATGGCGGAGACGGAGGCGGAGGCCGGGGGGCGCCGGGACCGGGACCCCCCCGGCAGGGGACAAGGAGCCGGGGGTGGGGGTCCCTTGGCCCTGTTGAAGGCCCGGGCCCTCGATGTCACCTTCGAGGTGGGGGACGAGTACGAGGTCATCGAGACCATCGGCACCGGCGCCTACGGCGTCGTCAGCTCCGCGCGGCGGAGGGACACCGGTGAGGACGGGGGGAGGAACCGGGGGGGGTGACACCGGGACACCCGGGTCCCTTGGGTGGTGGCACCTGGACACTTTGGTCCCTTTGGGTGGTGGCACCTTGGTCCCCTTGGGTGGTGGCTCTTGGCCAATGGGGTCCCTTGGGTGGTGGCACCTAGGTCACTTGGGTGATGGTTCCTGGGTCCCTTGGGTGGTGGCACCCAGGTCCCCTTGGGTGGTGGCTCTTGGTCATCTTGATCCCGTTGGGTGGTGGCTCTTGGTCATCTTGATCCCGTTGGGTGGTGGCTCTTGGTCATTGGGGTCCCTTGGGTGCCAGTTCTTGGGTCCCTTGGGTGGTGTCACCTTGGTCCCCTTGGGTGGTGGCTCTTGGTCATTGGGGTCCCTTGGGTGGTGGCACCTGGACACTTTGGTCCCTTTGGGTGGTGGCTCTTGGTCATTGAGGTCCTTTGGGTGACAGTTCTTGGGTCTCTTGGGTGGTGGCACCCAGGTTCCCTTGGGTGGTGGCACCTAGACACCCAAGTCCCTTGGGTGGTGGCACCTAGGTCACTTGGGTGATGGTTCTTGGGTCCCTTGGGTGGTGGCACCTTGGTCCCCTTGGGTGGTGGCTCTTGGTCATCTTGATCCCGTTGGGTGGTGGCTCTTGGTCATGGGGTCCCTTGGGTGGTGGCTCTTGGTCACCCAAGTCCCATTGGGTGGTGGCACCTTGGTCTCCTTGGGTGGTGGCTCTTGGTCATTGGGTCCCTTGGGTGGTGGCACCTGGACACCCAAGTCCCATTGGGTGGTGGCTCTTGGCCAATGGGGTCCCATTGGGTGGTGACATTGGGACACCCGGGTCCCTTGGGTGGTGGCTCTTGGCCATGGGGTCCCTTGGGTGCCAGTTCTTGGGTCCCTTGAGTGGTGGCACCCAGGTCCCCTTGGGTGGTGGCCCCTGGACACCCAAGTCCCTTGGGTGGTGGCTCTTGGTCCTTGGGTCCCTTGGGTGGTGGCACCTGGACACTTTGGTCCCTTGGGTGGTGGCTCTTGGCCAATGGGGTCCCTTGGGTGATGGTTCTTGGGTCCCTTGGGTGGTGGCACCTTGGTCCCCTTGGGTGGTGGCTCTTGGTCACCTTCATCCCCTTGGGTGGTGGCACTTGGTGGCTCTTGGTCAACTTCATCCCGTTGGGTGGTGGCTCTTGGCCAATGGAGTCCCTTGGGTGCTGGTTCTTGGGTCCCTCGGGTGGTGGCACCCAGGTCCCCTTGGGTGTCCCCCTGGGGGTGGGTGACGACCCCCCCCGGTGGGGGTGTCCAGGCCAGCAGGTGGCCATCAAGAAGATCCCCAACGCCTTCGACGTGGTGACCAACGCCAAGAGGACGCTGCGGGAGCTGAAGATCCTCAAGCACTTCAAGCACGACAACATCATCGGCATCAAGGACATCCTCAAGCCCACCGTCCCCTACGGCGAGTTCCGCTCCGTGTGGGTGTCCCCCCCGGGGGTCCCTTGGGTGGTGGTGGCACCCATGGGGGCGTCCCCAACACCTCCTGGTCAACCAGGTCCGTAGGGCGGTGGTGGCACCCATGGGGGTGTCCCCACCACCTCCTGGTCCCTTGGGTCCCTAGGGTGGTGGTGGCACCCATGGGGGCGTACCCAACGCCTCCTGGTCAACCGGGTCCGTAGGGCGGTGGTGGCACCCATGGGGGTGTCCCCACCACCTCCTGGTCCCTTGGGTCCTTTGGGTATTGGTGGCACCCATGTTGACGTCCCCACCACCTCCTGGGTCTTCTTGGAGGGTCCCTAGGGTGGTGGTGGCACCCATGGGGACATCCCCACCACCTCCTGGTCCCTTGGGTCCTTTGGGTATTGGTGGCACCCATGTTGACGTCCCCACCACCTCCTGGGTCTTCTTGGAGGGTCCCTAGGGTGGTGGTGGCACCCATGGGGACATCCCCACCACCTCCTGGTCCCTTGGGTCCCTTGGGTGTTGGTGGCACCCATGGGGATGTCCCCACCACCTACTGGTCAACCGGGTCCCTAGGGTGGTGGTGGCACCCGTGGGGACCTCCCCAACCCCTTTTTGGGTCTTGAAGGGTCTCAGCAACGTGGGATGGAGCCCAACTGGTCCCTTGGGTCCCTTGGGTGGTGGTGGCACCCATGGGGACCTCCCCAACCCCTTTTTGGGTCTTCTTGGAGGCTCTCAGCACCCACGGGATGGTCCCTTGGGTCCCTAGGGTGGTGGTGGCACCCATGGAGACGTCCCCAACCCCTTTTTGGGTCTTCTTGGGTGATCAGCTCACGTTGGATGGAACCCAACTGGTCCCTTGGGTCCCTTGGGTGGTGGTGGCACCCGTGGGGACGTCCCCAACCCCTTTTTGGGTCTTGGGAGGCTCTCAGCAATGTGGGATGGAGCCCACCAGGTCCCTAGGGTGGTGGTGGCACCCATGGGGACCTCCCCAACCCCTTTTTGGGTCTTGGGAGGCTCTCAGCAACGTGGGATGGAGCCCACCAGGTCCCTAGGGTGGTGGTGGCACCCATGGGGACGTCCCCAACCCCTTTTTGGGTCTTCTTGAAGGGTCTCAGCACCCACGGGATGGTCTCTTGGGTCCCTTGGGTGGTGGTGGCACCCACGGGGACCACCCCAACCCCTTTTTGGGTCTTCTTGGGTGATCAGCTCACGTTGGATGGAGCCCAACTGGTTCCTTGGGTCCCTTGGGTGGTGGTGACACCCATGGGGACCTCCCCAACCCCTTTTTGGGTCTTCTTGAAGGGTCTCAGCACCCATGGGATGGTCCCTTGGGTCCCTTAGGGTGGTGGTGGCACCCATGGGGACCTCCCCAACCTCTTTTTGGGTCTTCTTGGGTGATCAGCTCACGTTGGATGGAGCCCAACTGGTTCCTTGGGTCCCTTGGGTGGTGGTGGCACCCATGGGGACCTCCCCAACCCCTCCTGGGTCTTCTTGGAGGGTCCCTAGGGTGGTGGTGGCACCCACGGGGACCACCCCAACCCCTTTTTGGGTCTTCTTGGGTGATCCGCTCACGTTGGATGGAACCCACCAGGTCCCTTGGGTCCCTTGGGTGGTGGTGGCACCCATGGGGACATCCCCAACCCCTTTTTGGGTCTTCTTGAAGGGTCTCAGCACCCACGGGATGGTCTCTTGGGTCCCTAGGGTGGTGGTGGCACCCACGGGGACCACCCCAACCCCTTTTTGGGTCTTCTTGGGTGATCCGCTCACGTTGGATGGAACCCACCAGGTCCCTTGGGTCCCTTGGGTGGTGGTGGCACCCATGGGGACATCCCCAACCCCTTTTTGGGTCTTCTTGAAGGGTCTCAGCACCCACGGGATGGTCTCTTGGGTCCCTAGGGTGGTGGTGGCACCCACGGGGACCACCCCAACCCCTTTTTGGGTCTTCTTGGGTGATCAGCTCACGTTGGATGGAGCCCAACTGGTTCCTTGGGTCCCTTGGGTGGTGGTGGCACCCATGGAGACCACCCCAACCCCTTTTTGGGTCTTCTTGGGTGATCCGCTCACGTTGGATGGAACCCACCAGGTCCCTTGGGTCCCTTGGGTGGTGGTGGCACCCATGGAGACGTCCCCAAACCCTCCTGGGTCATCATGAAAGGGTCTCAAGAACGTGGGATGGAGCCCACCTGGTCAACCAGGTCCCTAGGGTGGTGGTGGCACCCACGGGGACCACCCCAACCCCCCTCCCCGGGCCACCCCGGCCCCCCTTCTTTCTCCCCCGGCAGCTACGTGGTCCTGGACCTGATGGAGAGCGACCTCCACCAAATCATCCACTCCTCCCAACCCTTGACCTTGGAGCACGTCCGCTACTTCCTCTACCAACTCCTGCGGGGCCTCAAGTACATCCACTCGGCCAACGTCCTCCACCGCGACCTCAAGCCCAGCAACCTCTTGGTCAACGAGAACTGCGAGCTGAAAATCGGCGATTTCGGCATGGCCCGCGGCTTGGGCGCCGACCCCCGCCACGCCAAGGCCTTCCTCACCGAATACGTCGCCACCCGCTGGTACCGGGCGCCCGAACTCCTCCTCTCCTTGCACCGTTACACCCGCGCCATCGATATGTGGTCGGTGGGCTGCATCTTTGCCGAAATGTTGGGCCGCCGGCAACTTTTCCCTGGGAGGAACTACGTCCACCAGCTCCAACTCATCATGGCCGTGCTGGGGACGCCGCCGGCCACCGTCATGGCCGCCATCGGGGCCGAGAGGGTGAGGGCCTACGTGCAGAGCTTGCCCCCGCGCCCGGCGGTGCCGTGGGAGAGTCTTTTCGGCGACGCCGAGCCGGCGGCCTTGGCGTTGTTGGGGAGGATGCTGCGTTTCGACCCCCGGGAGAGGGTGGGGGTGGCCGAGGCCTTGCGGCACCCTTTTTTGGCCAAATATCACGACCCCGAGGACGAGCCCGAGTGCGTCCCCGCCTTCGATTTCGCCTTTGACCGCCGGGTGTTGACCAAAGAAGAGATCAAGGCGGCCATCGTGGCCGAAATCGCCGATTTCCACGAGCGCCGCGACGGCATCCGGCGCCAAATCGCCTTCGCGCCGGCCGAAAACGCGGCCGGCGGCGGCGGCGGCGCCGCCGTGCCCAACGTCAACGTCCCCATGGGGGGCGTCAACGACGCGGCCAGCGGCGGCGTCACCGCGGTGGCCAACGCCGGCGTTGGGTTGGCCAACGTCAACGTGGCCAACGCCGGCGTGGCCAACGCCGCCATGGCCAACGTCAACTTGGCCAATGTCAACAGGGCCAATGCCACCATGGCCAACGTCAATTTGGCCAACGCCAACGTCAATTTGGCCAACGCCACCATGGCCAACGCCAACGCCACCATGGCCAACGCCAACGTCAACGTCCCCAACGCCGCCGCAGCCGGGGTTGGCGCGTCCTGGCCCTGCACCGACGTGGACATGCCGAGCCCTGGTCCCGCCCCCGCCCCCGACTGCCCAATGGACTCCCCCCGGGTGAAGGCAGAGCCGGGGGCCCCCGCGCCCCCCAAGAGGGACGGCGCCATCTCCGATGACACCAAGGCCGCCCTCAAGGCCGCCCTGCTCAAGTCGGCCATGAGGAACAAGAGTAAAGGTGAGGAGCATCCAGGGCCCTTGGGTGCTGGTTGGGGGGGGTGTTGGGGGCTCCGTCCTTGAGTTTTTGGGTCCTGGGATGGGTTTTGGGGGCTATGTCCTTGAGTTTTTGGGTCCTGAGATCAGTTTTGGTGGCTCCATCCTTGAGTTTTTGGGTTTTAGGATGGGGTTGGGGGCCCCACCTTTGAACTTCGGGGTCCTGGGATGGGGTTGGGGGCTCCATCCTTGAGTTTTGGGGTTTCAGGATGGGATTGGTGACACCATCCTTGAGTTTTTGGGTCCTGGGGTGGGGTTGGGGGCTCCATCCTTGAGTTTTGGGTTTTAGGTTGGGGTTGGGGGCCCCATCCTTGAGATTTTGGGTCCTGAGATCAGTTTTGGTGGCTCCATCCTTGAGTTTTGGGTTTCAGGATGGGGTTGGGGGCTCCATCCTTGAGTTTTTGGGTTTCAGGATGGGATTGGTGGCTCCATCCTTGAGTTTTGGGGTTTCAGGATGGGGTTGGGTACTCCACCTTTGAACTTTGGGGTCCTGGGGTGGGTTTTTTGGCTCCATCCTTGAGTTTTGGGGTTTCAGGATGGGGCTGGGGGCTCCATCCTTGAGTTTTTGGGTCCTGGGATGGGTTTTGTGGCTCCATCCTTGAGTTTTTGGGTCCTGAGATCAGTTTTGGTGGCTCCATCCTTGAGTTTTTGGGTCCTGGGATGGGGTTGGGGGCTCCATCCTTGAGTTTTTGGGTTTTAGGATGGGATTGGGGCCCCCATCCTTGAGTTTTTGGGTTTTAGGAAGGGTTTGGTGGCTCCATCCTTGAGTTTTTGGGTTTTAGGATGGGTTTGGTGGCTCCATCCTTGAGTTTTGGGGTTTCAGGTTGGGGTTGGGGGCTCCACCCTTGAGTTTTGGGGTCCTGGGATGGGTTTTGGTGGCTCCATCCTTGAGTTTTGGGGGTTGGGAGCTAAATTGTTGAGTTTTTGTGTCCCGGGATGGGTTTTGGGGGCTCCATCCTTGAGTTTTGTTTTTTAGGATGGGACTGGGGGCTCCATCCTTGAGTTTTTGGGGCTGGGAGCTCAATTGTTGAGTTTTTCTGACCCAGGATGGGTTTTGGTGCCTCCATCCTTGAATTTCGGTATCCCGGGTGGGTTTTTTCACCCCATCCCAGACCCCTTCACCCCCTTGACCCCCTCCGATCCCCCTCAGAACCCCCGTGCGCCGCCCCGGAGGCTCCGGAGGGCCGGAAACCGGTGACGGCGGCGGAGCGCCAGCGGGAACGGGAGGAGAAGCGCCGGCGACGCCAAGAGCGCGCCAAGGAACGGGAGAAGAAGCAACGGGAGCGCGAGCGGCGCGAGCCCCGCGGCCGCGGCGAGGGGCTCCGGGGCCTCGTCCTCACCGACGACGACCGCCACCTCCTCGAGAGGTGGACCAAAATGAGGGACGGGGCCCCCCCAAGACCCCCGGCGCGACCCGCGCCGGCCCCGTGCCCCCCACCGCCTTGCGGGGGACCCCCCGAAACGTGGCCGGGCGGCGAGGTGTGGGCCGAGCCGCCCCCCGCGCCCGGCCCCGCGGACCCCGACGTGGCCACCGTCACCCAACAGCTCTCCAAGTCGCAGGTGAGGGACCCTGGGTGAGGAGACCCCCTCCCCAAAAAAAAATTTGGGTTGGGGTCCCGTGCCCAGCGTTGTCTTCCCCCCGCCAAGGTGGAGGACCTGCTGCCCCCCGTCTTCTCGGTGACCCCCAAGGGGAGCGGGGCCGGCTACGGGGTCGGCTTCGACCTGGAGGAGTTCCTGAGCCAATCGTTGGACATGGTGGGGGACAACAAGGACAGGTGAGAGGGGACACGGGTGTCCTGGGTGGGGGGGCACCCATGGGTCCTGGTGACCCTACTCCATCCCATTGCCCATCCCGTTGGCCAACGCGTTGGGTCACCCCGTTCCCCGTTGTTTCCCTCTCCCTGGTGGCCCCAAACGTCCCAATGATGAGGAACCCAAATGTCCTGGTGACCCTCCTCCACCCCATTGTCCAAAAACCCCAAATGTCTTGGTGTCCCAACTCAACCCCGTTGACCAAGGAACCCAAGAATCCCGGCGTTCCTCTTCCATCCCCTTGACCAACGTCTTGGGACACCCCGTTCCCAATTTTTTTGTGGTGTCAGCCAAATATCCCGATGGTGAAGAACCCAAATGTCCTGGTGTCCCCTCTCCACCCCATTGTCCAAAAACCCCAAATGTCTTGATGTCCCAACTCAACCCCGTTGACCAAGGAACCCAAGAGTCTTGGCGTCCCTCTTCCACCCCGTTGACCAACGTCTTGGGACACCCTGTTCCCCGTTATTTTTTGGTGTCACCCAAAGGTCCCAATGATGAGGAACCCAAATGTCCTGGTGTCCCCTCTCCACCCCATTGACCAAAGAACCCATGGGTCCTGGTGACCCTACTCCATCCCATTGCCCATCCAGTTGGCCAACGCGTTGGGTCACCCCGTTCCCCATTGTTTCCCTCTCCCTGGTGACCCCAAACGTCCCAATGATGAGGAACCGAAATGTCCTGGTGACCCTCCTCCACCCCATTGCCCAAAAACCCCAAATATCTCGATGTCCCAACTCAACCCCGTTGACCAAGGAACCCAAGAATCTTGGCGTCCCTCTTCCACCCCGTTGACCAACGTCTTGGGACACCCCGTTCCCCGTTATTTTGTGGTGTCACCCAAATATCCCGATGGTGAAGAACCCAAATGTCCTGGTGTCCCCTCTCCACCCCATTGTCCAAAAACCCCAAATATCTTGATGTCCCAACTCAACCCCGTTGACCAAGGAACCCAAATGTCTTGGTGTCCTAACTCAACCCCATTGACCAACCTCTTGGGACGCCCCCTTCCCCACCGCCCCCCTCACCCCTCTGGCACCCAAGGGACCCCGTAGGGTGCGTCCCGGGCACCCCGGGGACCCCGTTGACCCCTGTCCCCTCGCAGCCAAGGCGATTCGGCGCCGCTCTCGGCCTCGCTCCTCGCCGACTGGTTGGAGGTCCACCGCTTGAGCCCGGCCGCCCTCGAGAGCCTCCAGCGCGACCTCCAGCTCGGTTCCCCCATGCTCCTCTCCGACGACCTCCCTGAGCCTTAAGGGGGGGGGGCGCGACGGGACCCCCGCCCTCCCCCCCCCCACTCCTTGTACCCCATTAAACTTTGTAAGGAAACCACGCTCCGGTTTTGTGCCCCCCGGGGACCTATAGGGGCTATAGGGGGGGCTTTGGGGCTCTGTGGGGTCGTCGTTGAACTCTATGGCCCTATAGGGGCTGTTGGGGGGCTTTGGGGTTTTGTGGGGCCGTCGTTGACCTCTGTGGACCTATAGGGGCTGTAGGGGGGCCTTGGGGCTCTGTGGGGCCGTTGTTGACCTCTATGGCCCTATAGGGGGGGCTTTGGGGCTCTGTGGGGTCATCATTGAACTCTATGGCCCTATAGGGGCTATGGGGGGGCTTTGGGGCTCTGTGGGGTCATCATTGAACTCTATGGCCCTATAGGGGCTGTTGGGGGGCTTTGGGGTTTTGTGGGGCCGTCGTTGACCTCTGTGGACCTATAGGGGCTGTAGGGGGACTTTGGGGTTCTGTGGGGTCATCATTGAACTCTATGGCCCTATAGGGGCTGTAGGGGGGGCTTCAGGGCTCTGTGGGGCCGTCGTTGACCTCTATGGTCCTATAGGGGCTGTAGGGGGTCTTTGGGGTTCTGTGGGGTCGTTGTTGGCCTCTGTAGCCCTATAGGGGCTGTAGGGGGGCTTTGGGGCTCTATGGGGCCATCGTTGACCTCTATGGACCTATAGGGTCTATAGGGGGAATTTGGGGCTCTGTGGGGCTGTCGTTGACCTCCATGGCCCTATAGGGGCTGTAGGGGGGGCTATGGGGCTATACAAGCTTGTAGGGACCCCACGGCAGCCCTAGGGACCTATGGGAGCTATAGGGGGCCTCTCGGGGGGGGTATAGAAACCCCATAGCCACCCTGGGAGCCTTCTGGGCGTTATAGGAAACTATAGGGGCACCGGGGGAGCTATAGGGGCACCGGGGGAGCTATAGGGGCACCAGGGGAGCTATAGGGGCACCAGGGGAGCTATAGGGGCACTAGGGGAACTATAGGGGCACTGGGGGAGCTATAGGGGCTATAGGGAGCTGCAGGGACACTGGGAGAGCTATAGGGCCTTGCTGGCTACTGGGAGAAGCTATAGGGTCCGTATAGGAGCCATAGGGACCCTTTTGGGCACCGGTAACAACCCATATTTGTGTGTGTCCCCCCCCCCCACCACCCCAAAAAATCCCGAGGAGGAGGAGGAGGAAGGAAGGAGGCAGAGGCAGGTGCGTTTGTGGCATGGGTTTCGTAGCAAATACATCACAGACCACGAGGGGGGGACGATACAGAGCTCAGGACCCGGGGGGGTTGGGTTGGGGGGGCTTTGAGGAGGGGTTGAGGGGGGGCAGGGGGGGGACACCCCACCCCCCCCGGCCCTCCCCGCGGCGCGGGGTTGGAGGGGGGGCAGCGCAGGGGCGCGGCGGCACCCGCGGGGCGGAAAATCTAAGTCGGGGTGGTTCCTCGGTGGTGGTGGGGGGCACGGGGGGGGGGTGATGGGTGTTTGGGGGGGGTCGGTGATGGTGGTTGAAGGGGGGTCGGGGCGTTGAGGGGGTCGTTGATGGGGGCGTTGATGGGGTTGTTGGGTGGTTGATGGGGTCGTTGGGTCATTGATGGGGTCATTGGGTCTTGATGGGGTCCTTGATGGGGTTGTTGGGTCGTTGATGGGGTATTTGGGGCTTTGATGGGGTATTTGGGGCTTTGATGGGGTTTTTGGGTCTTTGGTGGGGTATTTGGGTCTTTGGTGGGGTATTTGGGTCATTGATGGGGTTGTTGGGTCATTTATGGAGTCGTTGGGTCTTGATGGCGTCATTGATGGGGTCATTGATGGGGTCGATGGGGTAGTTGGGTTGTTGATGGGGTATTTGGGGCTATGATGGGGTATTTGGGTCTTTGGTGGGGTATTTGGGTCATTGATGGGGTTGTTGGGTCATTGATGATGTCATTGATGGGGTCATTGGGTCATTGATGCGGTCGTTGGATCTTGATGGGGTCATTGATGGGGTTGATGGGGTAGTTGGGTTGTTGATGGGGTATTTGGGTTGTTGATGGGGTATTTGGGTCTTTGGTGGGGTATTTGGGTCTTTGGTGGGGTATTTGGGTCTTTGGTGGGGTTGTTGGGTCATTTATGGAGTCGTTGGGTCTTGATGGCGTCATTGATGGGGTCATTGATGGGGTTGATGGGGGTAGTTGGGTTGTTGATGGGGTATTTGGGTCTTTGGTGGGGTATTTGGGTCATTGATGGGGTTGTTGGGTCATTGATGATGTCATTGATGGGGTCATTGGGTCATTGATGCGGTCGTTGGGTCTTGATGGGGTCGTTGGGTTGTTGATGGGGTATTTGGGTCCTTGGTGGGGTATTTGGGACTTTGATGGGGTATTTGGGTCTTTGGTGGGGTATTTGGGTCTTTGATGGGGGTCGTTGGGTCTTGATGGGGTCGTTGATGGGGTGATGGGGTCGTGATGGGGTCGTTGGACCATTGATGGGGTATTTGGGTGATTGATGGGGTAGTTGGGTTGTTGATGGGGTCGTTGATGGGGCAGTTAGGCCTTGATGGGGTATTTGGGGCTTTGATGGGGTTGTTGATGATGTAGTTGGGTCATGAAGGGGTCGATTGGGTCATTAAGGGGTCGATTGGGCAATTAAGGGGTCGATTGGGTCATTGATGGGATCGTTGATGGGGTAATGGGGCCGTTGATGGGGTCGTGGGGTCGTTGATGGGGCAGTTGGGTCATTGATGGGGTCACGGGGTCGTTAATGGGGTCGTTGGGTCATTGATGGGGTCGCTGGGTGATTAATGGGGTCATGGGGTCGTTAATGGGGTTGTTGGGTTGTTGATGGGGTCATGGGGTCGTTAATGGGGTCGTTGGGTCATTGATGGGGTCGTTGGGTTGTAAACGGGGTCATGGGGTCATTAATGGGGTCGTTGATGGTGGTTGGGACATCGATGGGGTAATTGGGTCGTTAGCAGGGTGATGGGGTCATTAGCGGGATGATGAGGTCGTTAATGGGGTGGTGGGGTCATTAGCGGGATGATGAGGTCGTTAATGGGGTGGTGGGGTCATTAGCGGGGTGGCGGGGTCGTTAGCGGGGTGGTTGGTTAGTTGGGTGGGTGATGAGGCAGGTGGGTAGTTAGTCGGGTGATTGGCTGGCTCGTTAGCTCGGCGACGGGTCAATTAGCTGAGCAATGGGTTGATTAATTGGGCGGTCAGCTGATGAGCTGGTTGGCTGGCTGGTTAACGGGTTAGTTAGGCGGTCGGTTAGCTGGTTGGATGGATGGCGGGTGGGTGAGAGTGGTTAGTTAGCTGGTTAGTTGGCTGGTTAATTAGCTGGTTAATTAGCTGGGTGGGCAGTGGTTAGCTGGTTGGTTGCTGAGCTGCTCGGATGGGCGACTGGTTAGCTGGTTGAGTGACTAGTTAGCTGGTTGGCTGAGCGGTTAGCTGGTTGGGAGGGTGTTTGGTTAGCTGACTGGGTGGGCGGGTGGGTCATTAGATGGTTGGTTAACTAGGTGGGTGGGTGGGTGGTTAGCTGGTTAGGTGGGTGGCTGGTTGGGTGGGTGGTTAGCTGGTTGGGTGGGTGGTTGGCTGGTTGGGTGGGTGGTTGGCTGGTTGGGTGGTTGGTTAGCTGGGTGGTTAGCTGGTTGGCTGGGTGGTTAGCTGGTTGGGTGGGTGGTTAGCTGGTTGGGTGGGTGGTTAGCTGGTTGGGCGGCTGGTTAGCTGGTTGGATGGGTGGTTGGCTGGTTGGGTGGGTGACTGGTTAGCTGGTTGGGTGGGTGGTTAGCCGGTGGGGTGGTTGGTTAGCTGGCTGGATGGGTGGTGGTTAGCTGGTTGGATGACTAGTTAGTGGGTTAGTCAGGCGGGTAATGGCGTTGCCTCGGATGCGCGGTGGGAATGGGCCAGAGCCCCCCCTGCCCCCTCACGGACCCCCAACCACGCGACCCACCTCCGGGGCACCTTCACCCCCGGGGGGGTTGGACGACCCCACCCCACCCCAAAAACCTTCCCTAAGGTCAACCCGACCCCAAACCAGCCCCAGGGCCCGTCCACCAGTCTCCCACTGGGGCCAGGCTGACTCGGCCTTCACCGGGTTCAAACCCAACCTCCTGGGATCCCTTTTTGGGATCGACCCGTGCCAAAATCCTTCTCTAGGCTCATCCCAACCCGGGCCGCGACTCTTTAGGGTCAACCCAACCAATGACCGCTCTTTAGGGTCAACCCAACCCATCTATGGCCAACCACGACCCCGTTTTAGGGTCGACATGACCCATGACCCCTACCTAGGGTCAACCAAACCCGGATGTCCCCCAAAATCCTTCCCTAGGGTCAACCCAACCTGGGCCGTGCCTCTTTAGGGTTGACCCGACCCCGTGCCCTGTCTTTAGGGTCAACCTGACCCATGACCCCCCAATCTCTCTTTGGGGTCAACCCAAGCCAACTGCCTCCCTAATTGCTCCCCAAAGGTCAACCCCACCCGCGACCCCTCTCAAGGGTCAACCCAATTCAAGGACCCCCCCCCTCTAGGCCCACCCCAACCTCCGCCCCCCACCTCTTTGGGACCTCCTTGACCCATCTGCCCCTCGTAGCCCCCCCTTTAGGGCCACCTCCTGTCCCCCCAGGGCACAATCCGGGGCTCCCCGGACCCCCGCGTGTCCCCCCCCCCCCCTACCCAAGGGGTGGGGGCACAAGCGCAGCGCATGGATGGGAGATGGTGGTGGAGGGGGTGGGGAGGGGGCGAGAAGAAGTGGGGGGCATCCGAGGAGCAGAATGGGGGGGGGGGGATGGATGGAGGCCAACGAACCGCTTAGATTTGCCGGCCCCGGGTCGGGCTCGGGCCGCTCTGGCCCAAATTTTTTTTTGGGGGGGGGGGGTGGGGGAGGAAAGGAGGAGGGGGGCGGCGGGTGATTGGACCACGTGCTGTTATGTCCGTTCGCATGAACAATTAATTGTCTCTTAATTTATTCTTAAGTCTCGCTTAATGTGGTTATTCTCATTACCGGGGAAGGAGGAAGGGAGCGTTAATTACTGCCGCGAGAGGTGGGGGGGGGGGGAGGGGGGGCCGAAAGGAGAAGGAGGGTGGGGGGGGCGCGCCGGGACCCTACAAGCCCAACGTGCCCCCGATGGAGGAGGCCAAGACCACCCCCAGCACCACGCAACAAATTATGATCATGATTTTCTTCTACGTTACCCCAAAAACGGTATTTTTTTCCCAAAAAAATTAAAAAAAAAATAAATAAAAAGGCATCCGGGCAGCGTGGGGAGGAGAGAAGAGAAGAAGCGTTACGGAGCAGGAGAGGACCCGACGCTGAAGGACCACCCCCCTTGGTTGTCCAGGTTCTTGGCCCATCGCCTCCTTGGCCCCCCCCCCCAACTTTTTTGGCCCCCCTACCACCCCTGCACTCACCCTTCGGGCTTTGCTCTGGTACTTTACGGCTTTTTTGGTGTCCGACACGGCCCGTTCCACGTAGTCGACCGAGTGCTCCACGTTGTACTCGATGCGGTCGATCATCTCGCCCTGAGAGCCAGAACCGCCCCGTGAGACCCCCTCCCCAAAAAAAGGGGGGGCACTGGCATGGGAGAGTGGGGTTCTAGGAGGTTCTAGGTGGTTCAACTGGGTCTTGGTGGGCTCAAGAGCCTCTTATGGTGGGTTCTTGATGACCCAACGGGTTGTTGGTGGGCTTAAAAGCTTTTGGTGATGTCTAGATGAACCAACAGACCAGGTTCTAGATGACCCTTGGTGGTCATCTAGAGATTTTAATGGGTTCTAGGTGACCCTTGGTGGGCTTGAGACCACCTTTTGATGGTGCCCAGATGAGCCAATGAGCGGGATTCTAGGAGGTTGGTGGTTCTAGGTGATTCAACTGGGTCTTGGTGGGCTCAAGAGCTTCTTATGGTGGGTTCTTGATGACCCAACGGGCCGTTGGTGGGCTTAAAAGCTTTTGGTGACGTCTAGATGAACCAACAGACCAGGTTCTAGATGACCCTTAGTGGTCATTTAGAGATTTTAATGGGTTCTAGATGCCCCTTGGTGGGCTTGAGACCTTTTGATGGTGCCTGGGTGAGCCAACAAGCTGGGTTCTAGGAGGTTCAACTGGTTCTAGGTGGTTCAACTGGGTCTTGGTAGGCTCAAGAACCTCTTATGGTGGGTTCTTGATGACCCAACGGGTTGTTGGTGGGCTTAAAAGTTTTTGGTGATGTCTAGATGAACCACCAGACCAGGTTCTAGATGACCCTTGGTGGTCATCTACAAATTTTAACGGGTTCTAGATGCCCCTTGGTGGGCTTGAGACCTTTTGATAGTGCCTGGATGAGCCAATGAGCAGGGTTCTAGGAGGTTCAACTGGTTCTAGGTAGCTCAACTGGGTCTTGGTGGGCTCAAGAGCTTCTTCTGGTGGGTTCTTGATGACCCAATGGGCTGTTGGTGGGCTTAAAAGCTTTTGGTGACGTCTAGATGAACCAACAGACCGGGTTCTAGATGACCCTTGGTGGTCATCTAGAGATTTTAATGGGTTCTAGATGACCCTTGGTGGTCATCTTGAGATTTTAACGGGTTCTAGATGCCCCTTGGTGGGCTTGAGACCTTTTGATGGTGTCTGGATGAGCCAATGAGCCTTAGTCATGGCTTTTGGTGGGTTCTAGATTACCCAACAGTGGTCTTGGTAGGCTCAAGAGGTTTTGATGGCATCTAGACGAGCCAATGAACCTGATCTATGGCTTTTGGTGGGTTTTGGATGACCCTTGGTGGGCCTGGAACCTTCTGATGGTGTCTAGGTGACACACGTGGGGTGGGTTCAAGCCCCCCCCTCTGCCCCCTCCCCTGTACCTGGCTCTCCACCAGCATCGCCATGTCCACGAACATGTCGTGCAGCTCCCGGATGCTCGTTTCCAGCTTGATGATCTCGTTGTGTCGCGTCTCGATCTCGTTCAGGGCTTGTTTGGTCATCTGCGAGTCCATTTTGATCTGGCGGGGGAGAAGAAAGAGGGGGTGAGAGCACAGGAGGGGGCTTCTCGGGCCCCGGGGACCTCAACAGGTCAGGGGTGACCTCCTAGTTCCTTGGTCATACAAAGATTTGGGGCGTTTCATCGGGTTCTAGGTGATCCAATGGGTTTTGGGTTATCTCGCTGGGTTCTGGGTGATTTAATGGGGGGTTTGGAGCCATCTTGTTGGGTTCTGGGTGACCCACTGGGTTTTTTGGGGGGCATCTCATCAGGTTCTGGATGACCCAATGGGTTCTAGGTGATCCAATGGGTTTTGGGTTATCTCGCTGGGTTCTGGGTGATTTAATGGGAGGTTTGGAGCCATCTTGTTGGGTTCTGGGTGACCCACTGGGTTTTTTGGGGGGGGCATCTCATCAGGTTCTGGACGACCCAACGGGTTCTGGACGACCCAACGGGTTCTGGATGACCCAATAGGTTCTGGATGACCCAACGGGTACTGGATGACCCAACGGGTTCTGGATGACCCAACGGGTTCTGGATGACCCAACAGGTCCTGGATGACCCAACGGGTACTGGATGACCCAACGGGTTCTGGATGACCCAACGGGTTCTGGATGACCCAACGGGTCCTGGATGACCCAACAGGTTCTGGATGACCAAACAGGTTCTGGATGACCCAAGGGGTTCTGGATGACCCAACGGGTTCTGGATGACCCAACAGGTCCTGGATGACCCAACGGGTTCTGGATGACCCAACAGGTTCTAGATGACCCAACGGGTCCTAGATGACCCAGTGGGTTCTGGATGACCCAACGGGTTCTAGATGACCCAACGGGTCCTAGATGACCCAATGGGTTCTGGATGACCCAACGGGTTCTAGATGACCCAACGGGTTCTGGGTGACCCAACGGGTCCTGGATGACCCAACGGGTCCTGGATGACCCAACGGGTTCTGGATGACCAAATGGGTTCTGGATGACCCAACGGGTTCTGGATGACCAAATAGGTTCTGGATGACCCAATGGGTTCTGGATGACCAAATAGGTTCTAGATGACCCAACAGGTTCTAGATGACCCAACAGGTTCTAGATGACCCAACGGGTTCTGGATGACCCAACGGGTTCTGGATGACCCAACAGGTTCTGGATGACCAAATGGGTTCTGGATGACCCAATGGGTTCTGGATGACCCAACAGGTTCTGGATGACCAAACCAATTCTGGATGACCCAACGGGTCTCTACGTACATCATCGGTAAAGATGGCCAACTTCCCGCTCTCCAGCATGTCCTCCAGCTCCTCATTGGTGGTGGTCCGGCCGGCTGCGGGGAGATGGAGGAGATTTTGGGGTCCTGCTCCCCCAAACCCCAACGCGTGTCCCCCCCCCAAGGTTCTCCCGTGACCTACTGATCTCCAGCTGCCTCTGGATCCTGTCCTTGCACCGGTCGCGGTACTTGGACTGGGTGGCGTTGTACTCCGTCATCACCTCCACGAACTTGCGGGACAGCGTCGAGTGCTGGGGACATTGGGGGGGGGGACACGGGGTGGGGTGAGGGACCTCCACCAAGGAGGAGGAGGAGGAGGAGGAGGAAGGAGAGGGGTGGTGGGGGAGGAAGGGTACCTGCGTTTTTCGGATGCGTAGGTCGGCCGAGGAGCGGTTCAGGCCTTCCTCCTGCTCGATGCTCTGCTCGATGGCTGCGGGAGGGGACAGTTGGGAGCCCTCACCCCAAAAATGGCCACCACAAGAGGGCCAAGACCATCAAGAACATCCCCATGAAGACCACCACCATCATGGAGATCACCCCAAAATGTCCACCCCAAAATGTCCACCTCAAGAAGACCAAGACCATCATGAAGAACGTCCCCAAGGAGACCACCACCATCATGAAGAACATCCCCAAAAAGACCACCACCATCACAAAAAACATCCTCAATGAGGCCACCACCATCATGGAGATCACCCCAAAATGGCCACCCCAAAATGTCCAACTCAAGAAGACCAAGACCATAATGGAAAACGTCCCCAAGAAGACCACCATCATGAAGAACATCCCATGAAGACCACCAC